TCTGATTGGTTGGCTTGAAATCCACCTATCAGAGTGCTCTGTGTCATTTTACACAGCGTGGGAAAGTTCTTTGGAATTTTCCCACGCTGTGTAATTTGACTAATAACACTCTAATTGGTTACTTAATCCACCAATCAGAGTGCTCTGTGTCATTTTACACAGCGTGGGAAAGTTCTTTTGAATTTTCCCATGCTGTATAATTTGACTCATAACACTCCCCCCCAAATTCTTATTTATGGCCCCCACCCACGGCTCAGGGGTGGGGGCCGGGGGAGAGGACAGTAGGTCCCCCCCTTATTGTTATTTAGGGACCCACCTGCCGCTCAGGGGTGGGGGGCGGGAGGAGGACAGTAGGTCCCCCCCTCCACATTCTTATTTAGGTCCCCCACCCGTTACACAGGGGTGGGGGCAATAGGTTTTTTTTTGTTTTTTTTACAGTGAGCAGCTGCTCACTGTTTACTAGACACGCCCCTACTCATGGTAAAGCGAGTAGGGGCTAAATTTACTAATACTAATTGTAACGGCACTCCAAATTCCCGAACTGGAACCTCACGAATTGCTGCTAGCAGCTGAACAGGAAAATCACCCAAGCGGCTTACACACCTGGCAATCAGTCTCTAACAGCATACAGTAAATCCCCCCAAGAACGAGACAAAGCTCCGTGTTGAGGGTCAAGCAGTGAACAGACAGAGCTGTGGGTTTATTGTTCTTATATACACATTAGTACCACCCACAGGGTTTTGGAAAACAACCAATAAACACATACAATACACTCATACACTCTCACACAAAATTCTCCCCTCTGCCTGTGATACAATTACCTTACACAATGGCTAATGTAATTATCACCGGCAGAGAAATACAGTTTTTCCACATTATTTACAACTTGAAAAGTATGCATCATACTTACATTTTCAGAATCAGCATACTCCAAATACAAACATATGTAAAAATCATCCAGATTGGTCCATTGGTTCAAAAGATAGATCAAAGTCCTTTGTGACCAAATGAAGCATGGCTTTTCTGCCCAAAACCAGTTCCACAGAGTCTTCTATCCTGGAGAGAATTGGGAAGTAATCCAATTATCTCCAAGGACAGAGGCAAAACTCCATTAAGCACATGGCAGTAAAAAGACAGTAAAATACAATAAAACACACAAGGTTACATTATTACATAAAATCAAGCGTTTCAACATGGGGCCATAGTCTAAAGGCAGCAGGCGGGCAACCAGGCTCCTCCAATGCACACACTAATATTAAGTAATCTTTACTCAGTATTAGTAAAGGTGGCTGAAAGACCAATTTAGGTCTTTCAGCCTTTTGGTAGATAGCTCCCTAATACCGTTATTTACTAAGCGGCTGCTTATTTTATGTTATTTTTAAGTGATTTCCCAATCCACATTTGTTTGCAGGGCAGTTGTCCTACTCTTACCCCCATTTTTACTTCCTTTTGCAGCCCTCGGGTCCCTATTGACTTCAATGGAGTTCGGGGTCAAGTTTGATCCTCAACCCGGACTTTTTTTCAAAGTTCGGATGAACCCGCCGGACCCGAACATCCAGGTGTCTGCTCAACTCTAACTGTGGCAGCAGAAGGTATCGCCCCTTAGTTAAATTAAATTTGCCAGTTGGGAAATAGAAGCTACTGGCTACATCAAGGCTTGTTAATGAGTAGCAGCTAGCTCCTAAAAAGGAGTGTCAAGTAGGAAACTAACCCGTTATCCTCAGGGATTAAATCAGAGATCTCTGCTTATATAACCTAGATAATGTATGGAGCAAAAAAAAACCAAAAAAACAACTTGTTATGGTTGTGGAAGTGTCTTGGTAAGTAGCCCATGAAGTAGACACTAGGCTGGTAGTGTAGGACCTGCCAAAGATGGGGTACATTGTGCAATGTGTGATTATATTATGTAACTAAACCCCCATTATTTTATGCCTGGATTAGGTGTTTAAACCCCCCCCCCAAAAAAAACCCCACAAAATCTGTCAGCACCGAGGTTGCTGTTTAAGGGATAATGGAGTGCGCTGGATTCTCTTTCTTATTTTTTTTCTTCTTTCTTTAATAATGCTAACAGTAACAGCATTTAATAATAACATCAAATAATGCAGTTTCCAGCACAAAAGTTAAATATATATTTTCTGGTGTAATCTTGACACGTGTATTGTGAAATGGGAATCTGGATTTTGCTACGTTGATAAATTGACTAAAAATTGTGTAATTTTTTCCCAGTACACATCTGTTTTACTTAGAATTTAAACATTAGCTTTAAGTGTAATTATCATATTTATCATTATTTTATGCATAGCTATGGTTAGTTTAACACAATTAACTAGATGTTTAATGTCTACCATTGCTCTAATGCTGGGATTACCATGGCAATGTTGTCCTGTAAATATAAAAACAAATAAAACAAATCTAGTTCTTCACATAGCACACCCTTTTATGCAGTTATAATGGAGACGAGGTATTAGTATTATTAGCATTTACATAACACCAACATATTGGAAAAGGGTGCGGGACAGTGTTGCGATCTCTTCACTGACTTTGCTCAAAGTTGGCAGACCCACCCAGAAAGGAAGCAGGGCTGCCTAAATTACTGGCAGATTAGCCAATTATCTAAGGCCAAACCACTGAGAGCAGAACCTGCAGGCAGTACTGTTTCATTGCTCCCTGGAGGGGACCATTACCTCGTGGGCCAACATGCAGGACAGCAGGGAATAAAGTCAGGATGGCAGATCCCCCCCCCCCCATTTATCAGGATTGTCTCTCCGAAATTGGAATTGTTGGAATGCCTGGTCTTGCTGAAGGACACGATCTGGTCCATTGCTCTGATCACTTGTGGGCATTTCAGGATTCCAGGTGGGCGGTAGGGATTTTCTAATTTTGAGAGATTGGGTGGGTGGGCGGGTGCGAGCCGGCGGTACCCCTGCGACCGGGTACCGCCGTCACCATTTGCGGTCACTAAAGGATTGCACGTCACTGTTCCCAGCTAACACACAGACCGCGCGGGAGGAAGCAGAGGGAGTCAGAGTAGGAACTCATATCCACCTAAGCCACCACTGGACCCCAGGGAAAACCACCCTCCTGCACCTAAAAGGTGTTTGTTTGTGTGTATGTGTCTTTGTATGAATGTCTTGTGTGTGTGTCTTTGTATGTATGTGTGTGTGTTTGTATGTATGTCTTGTGTGTGTCTGTCTGTATGTATGTGTCTGTATGTGTGTGTATGTGTCTTTGTATGTATGTGTGTCTTATGTATGTGTCTTTATATGTATGTGTGTCTTTGTATGTATGTCTTGTGTGTGTGTGTCTGTCTGTATATATGTGTGTATGTATGTGTGTCTTGTCTTTGTATTTTATGTGTTGTGTGTGTATGTGTCTTTGTATGTATGTGTGTCTTATGTATGTGTCTTTGTATGTATGTTTGTCTTGTGTCTGTCTGTATGTGTCTTTGTATGTATGTCTTATGTGTGTGTCTTTGTATGTGTGTGTCTGTATGTGCGTGTCTGTGTGTCTGTATGTATGTGTGCATGTCTGTGTGTATGTGTGTCTGTATGTATGTGTGCCTGTCTGTTTGTACGTGTGTCTTGTGTGTGTCTGTATGTGTGTATGTATGTCTTGTGTGTGTGTCTGTATGTATGTGTGCCTGTCTGTTATAATGGGCTATAGTACGTAATAGTAAGTGGGATACCTAGCTCAGCCTTCCTACTGGGCATTACTATAAGGAAAGTTAAAAAATAGAAAAAAGGAAAAAAAAAAGGTGGGGAGGGGAATTGAGGAGGGAGAGGAGGGGAGCTGACGCACAGATGAGAAATCATATTATGCGCAAACAGAGAAATCGTCAGAATATCACCGAAAGAATATCACCTTTCGTTTGTTCCATATGAAAATCGAACCAGATATCAAATATTTAGTCTCGCAGCATCAGCCTCAAGGATCTCATTAGTCACTAGTAAAGGTAATTTCAATTTACTTTATTGTTTTCTCATTAAACTTTATAAAGTTAAAAACATTATAAACATGCATTAAGTAGAAATAAAAAGATAAATGTACTGCATTGCGCGAAAAGTGGTGGGCGGTAAGGAAATTTTTCCATCAAGAAAGATGCATTAGTGGGCGGTAGGTAGAAAAAGGTTGACTACCATTGATTTAAACGAACACTACCAGTTCAAACTAACGGACTATTTTAGCTGACAATGCATCATGGTGGTATAGGAATGAAGAAAATGCATAGGGTTTTGTTCAATAAACACCAAACAAAATGAACTGAAAACGGTATTGTAAAATTAATGTCGAAATTGTTAATTTGGAAAGATTCTCCAATTCGCAGCTTTTAGCCTAGATTTTGCAACCTTTTTTGTTTTAAACTTTGGTGCAATTCACAATTGTAGATAAAGCTCTGGAGTGGTTAGTGAGTAAATGCCAAATCTTATAGTTATAATTTAATTGTGAATGTGGCCTGTATTTTACAATTTGTAATTTAGTGAAAAATATGCACAATGCATCAAACACGGGACCATCAGCTTGTGCGAAGCATTCATTTATGGCACTCTTCACACTTACCAATGACTGATTATCCACTTATTACTTAGGAAGCGTTTTACCAGAAGGAACACACTGCGATTTCTATCATTGACAGATTTGTCTTCAAGGGCCCTCAGGAGAATGTAGAATAAGATGCTTTTACAAGATTATATTTTAAAAACATATTTTAAAAAAATGTATTAAATATAAAACAAATATTGAATATCAGTTATTACAGCCATTGTTTTATAGCAGATATTGAGAGAATGGAGTTTTCAAGAGTATGGTTAATGAATCATGAAAAATTGGTGGAGGGCAGATCAGGATAAAAGATTTAACCAGTTAATTGATTTTAATGGGACACTAACAGCAAAATTTACTGTGGTTTGGTGCATAGTGCTTTACTTTTTTTGATAATGTAAAACTTGTTAATGTTCACATTTATCTGAAAACATGCCTCTAGATCAGGCATAGACAACCTTTGGCACTGCAGATGTTTTGAACTACACCTCCCATGATGTGTAAAAGCATTATGGGGGATGTAGTCCACAACATCTGAAGTGCTGAAGGTTGCCTATCCCTGCTCTAGATGCTCTAGCTATCAGGCTGATAGACAAGAGAAAATTTCTACTTAAGATCTTTGATCTTCAAACATACAGGATATTTCTGCCTCAACCCTTGGAATGAGGTGGAGGCATGTGAAATATCCTGGATAGTAGATATGCCATTGTCCAACCCCTGTGACCCCACGCATGGGCAATGGGGGAGTGGTAAGTTATAATAGTGGGGACAATCATTGTCTCCCACCAGCCCTCTCCCATGGGAAGTGGGTAAGGGGTGTTTTGTATTTTGGGGTTTGTAAAAATTTATGTTTTTTCTGCTTTGAGTTAATTGAGTTAGTCCATTGTCTTTGTTAATTGTATCACAGGCAAAGGGAGTGTGTGTGTACAGTAACTGGGAGTGTTCAAGTGTAAAACTCTGTTTTTATTGGATTGGGTGGTAACCTTGTGGGGAAATCTGTATAAAAGAAGCAGCTGTACCATTAAACCTTCAGTTCTGGTTCACCCTCAATCTAGAGTCCTGTCTCCTTTTGGGGGAATCCGCTACAAGGGATTGCTATGCTCTTCATACTCCCTTGAATAATCACTAAGCTCTTGTAAGAACTTGTTCCTGGGGAAAGAGAGGCTCACCCATTGGAACTTGGAGCCTTGTTGTAGGTCCAGGGTGGGTAGATGGCGAGACCCCAACCAAGCTGTGACGGTTCATGGGTTCTGCAGTGCTTATGGTGTCTGGTGCGGTGCTGATGGTCCTTGGTAAGCACTAGGAGCATCTGTCGGCTGAGGTACCCAATCGGGTACAGGAAGCTCCGTTACAGGGTGGAGCAGTATAAAGTTTTGCATTCCTTGCTTGCATTCCCCCAGTAAAAGCAGATAATGCAAAACCGCCTGGCAGTACTGAGTAATTCCTCCCTGCTCCCCCCTATACCCGTAAGGCCATGCGGGAATATAATTGTTGTTTACGTAAACATTAGAGTTGCCCATATAATATACCACGGAGCTGTAGTAGCACTGCAACTCCTATTGTGCTCAGGAAGACTTTGCTGAGAATCACAAGTTTAACTACAGATGTGGTGTTGGGTGTTTATCTCTATTTAATTAATCTTAATCACTGTCTATGGAAAGCTGATATATTAATAATGTATTTAGTGGAGATACCGGATATCCTACATGTCACAAATGAAGAAACCATGACTGTATTTATATGGTTGAAGTCTGTCAGATGCGGAATGCTATACTCTGTATATCCTCCAGATGTTTTTATTCATATAGATTAGTAATGGGACTTTCTTTCCCAATATGAGACATTATTTCCTCTTTGTTGGAAGACATTCGTTTTAAAATGAATTCTTGTAGGCTTAGCAGCAATCTTTTCTATTCTCAGGAAAGGTTCTCCCCATAGTGTTGTATTATTTGATTGCATTGTTGGGGCTGGTTTTCATAAACCCAATTCAGACTATAATCATGTTTCAGGTCACCGGTCTGTTTTAGCATGCTGCAATACACTCCCACATTTGTCTGGAACAGATCGGAGATTAGAGAAGACAAGAACTTGATTGACCCGTGTTTATTTCATAAGCTCAGTTACTGTGTTACTTTAGTAGACGTATCAGTGCAAGCAACACGTACAAAATAATAATGTTATAAAATATTATCCTATGGATTGGAATGCTGTCTAAATTCATTAAAGGGGAACTGCAACTTTTTTATATTGTATTTACTTTTAATATTGTTTAGTTATATCCTATATCTATCAAATAAATTAAATGAAATGTTGACACTACCCCACGTATCTCAACTCACGTATTGTCAGCCGCTGTTATCATTTATGCTATTTGTGCCAGCATAGAGGGAACATAGGGAATGATGGGGGGGCGGGGAGGGGGTGGGGTGGAGCAGAAGCAATATTACTAAGTAATGTATGCCTTGGCTATGCCAGGACTGAACTGGTTTGTGATACAAAATGCTATGTTTTTAATAAACATATGACAGAATAAAAAGCATCACATGAAATAAAAGAGTAAAAACATTTATAGATGATTGTTGATGTTTTATTCAATAGTGCAATTTCCTGAGAAATGATATTAACAAGGATATTAAAAAAGTTAGCATTTTGTAAATTTGATAAAAACACTTTTTTTTCACACAGGCACATTTTTGAGTCTTTCAAAGAATATATAATTGGATAATTATAATAGTAGACAGGTGAGCAAAAACGACATCTCCACTGTGTAATATATTTACAATAATAACAGCTTAGGATGTCATAAGGATGCAAGATAGATGAAAAGGTGCGTTCTAAAGGTAGCGTTAGTCACATAATTCAGCAATGGGGTATACTGAAAGAAGTACATTTTATACGCTGTATATTCCTTAGATGTTTTTATTAGGGGAAGATTAATGCTAGTGTTTTATACGTATAACCAAAAAGTGATAAACAAAAATGTATCTAACTATTTTGATGTCCAAAAGTGTCCTGTGACGGACTTACCAGTGTAGCAGTGATAAATCATTTTTATTAGGATTAAATACAATGATGCAACTTGACAGTGGTGGCTTACAGAATATTTGATGATATAATCAGCAGTGCCAAATAAAGGTATAAATCAAAGCTCAAACCATATATAAAAACTGGGCAGAGAAAAGCGAAAGGCAACAATCATTTCTAAACCCATTCTCGTTGAATGGGTGGCCCTTGAACACCACATTGCATTGTGAAGATGTAAAAAGAAAGGGGAACAGAAACTATTGTAGCCAATGGAGATAGAGATATGGTGGGGACAATTATATGTAAAGCGGTTATTGGGCGAATCCTACCTTACCACTCCAAACACCCAAAAGACCTCAGAAGTGACAGTTCTGATTTAGGCCTTTTTAAGAGCTTGGAAAATATTACTAAGAAGGAGATACAAATATTGCTAGTCTGAACTGTGACTAAGTGGAGGTCAGATGTGCGACTGCGACTATGGGTTGTTGTTGTTGTGAAATTCTGAAACACTAAATGAGTTCTGTCCTGGTCAAACAGCACAGTGTACAAAGGGCCTATGGTTCCAATCTCTGTCTTTTTGTTTTTTTGTTACATTGCTCGGAGTGCTTAGAGTACCTTTTTAATTTAGCTTTAGTCAGTTCTTTGTATTTAATACTTTTGTAGCCACAATACTGAGCAATGTTACATTTCTCACTCTGCTCTATAACCAGAATGGTTTTGTGTGAATTCTGATGAATGAGTAATACTTTGTCTACAATAGAAAAATAAGAAGTGGCTAGTTCAAAGTTTATCAGATGTCTGTCTCTGCTTCTTCATGTCTCGAGTGACATGAGACAGGAAACAGCAAGACTTGGCCAGTGTGACACTGAGGTTACTATTAGCAGGATGTGAAAAGGTGAGCGGATATTTAAATTTTCAATTGTTACATATGACTCAAACACTTTGTTTTGGCTACCAGTGATATTTGAAAGAAATATTTCTATATTCCACATAGGCGTTTAATGAGGCTACATACCACATATAGCTATCCTACGCGTGGCTTTAAAATTAGACTTCATATTATACTTGTCTTTTCTTTTACTTTCCCACATAAATCAGTACAACAATACAGAAAAAAAAAAAAACCCTTAAGAATCTTATGATTAAGGACTGAAGAGTCTGAAATGGATTAAGGGGTATGTGTTTTTTCTTTTGTGTGGCTCCCCCTGGGATTTTTTTCTATTTTTGATATTCTTCTGTAAAGTTCCAATTAAAGGGACACTCCGAGTACTAATGCTACTTTAAAGGACCACTATAGTGCCAGGAAAACATACTCGTTTTCCTGGCACCATAGTGCCCTGAGGGTGCCCCCACCCTCAGGGACCCCCTCCCGCCCGGCTCTGGAAGGGGGAAAGGGGTTTAAACTTACCTTTTTCCAGCGCTAGGTGGGGAGCTCTCTGCCTCCTCTCCTCCTCCGATCCGCCCCGTCGGCTGAATGTGCACGCGCGCCAAGAGCTGCGCGCGCATTCAGCCGGTCTCATAGGAAAGCATTTACAATGCTTTCCTATGGACGCTGGCATGCTCTCACTGTGAAAATCACAGTGAGAAGCACGC